ATTTGAATAATATTCGCATTTGGCAAATATTCGAATTGATATTAATTTGAATATTATTCGGATAGAAAGTCAGTAAGCTTTATTTATAAAGCCATGCAAAATTAATAGTTTGGTTTTTATAATGTAAAACTTTAAAAAATGGTCTAGCAACCCAGGTTTTATATATAAGAAAAAATTTCTTAAACTTTTGTTCAAGACCAAGTTATGATGACCAATATATTAAGTTTGTACAGCCTAATTAACTAACCTGCAATATTTTATTAGGAATATTTTATTAATTATATCGATTAAAATTTCAAAAGGTTGGTATCCATAATCATTACATGTTATGCATAAACCACCCAAATCCTCTCGATACTGAAATCGACTATTTTGTAGATGTGTCATAAATGAAGTGCACTTTATTCCATCAGGATAAATAGCTGAAAACTTTTTCCAAAGTTCTTTTTTTTGATCTTTCAAATAGAGAACAGGTAATTGTGCTCTTTCATCGAATTTATATGAACTCATGATTACATTATCCTTATCATTAAAAAATAACTCAAATTCTCTTTCTTTGACCTCTAATATTTTTGAATAAATAATTGTAGGTTTTTCTAATACAACACATCCAGGCCTATTGATACAAGAAAATTTTCATGCCATATTAATAGTATTGGGAGAAACCTAAGTTATGTTTAATTAGTATTATTGTATTTTATATTTAAACAATAATTAAGCTTCCTTACTTTTAATTTATTCATTATTTCTTGATATATGAACCTTTCTGCAATTATTGATAATATACGTACTTTACCATCTGTTCCTCTAAAATTCACATCATAACTATCATGAAAGCAGTCCCAAAATGTTTTAGTAGTCAAGGTTTGTGATAATATATTTAGTATGCCTTCTTTATGTAAATTCTTAATCATATCATGATCCTTTTCAGAATTAGGTGCGTTTGTCCAAAATTCATTTTATATATATTGATTTACTTTAGTTTATTGATTTCAATTTATTATTAATGAACAAAAAAATTTTTAATACAATATATAATAGCTATTCCCACAAGATATGAAAATTGAAAATGTAGAATGACTACCCATATAATAATTTACTATTTGAGTGATAGAAAAAAAAACCTGAAGATTTGAATAGTAGATTTTTTTACTCTTTAGAGTTGACCCTAATCTTTTTGGTAACAACCTTTATCATAATTATGCCACATAATACCAAGGACGAATTGAATTTTGAATCAAGTTT